CTGGGATCTGCCCAACACGAGACAAGAGGGCATCCTTTGACGGCAAAATCCTGAAATTCCATTAAAAAAAAAAAAAAAAAGGCATTAGAAGCATGCAGACAACTGTCATTAAAACATGAAGCTGGTTGGGCAGGGGAGTTCCTACACAGGGTTAAAAGGGAAGTTTAAAAGTGGATCAGGTGGTTTCAAAGATCCTCAGAGAAATGCTGAGACTGTAGTCTAACCAGGTCATCACTACCACTCTGGGGCTGAAGAAAAACCTGCATACTCACCACAGTAAGCCAGATAGAAGGACCATGGCTCTTGTCATAACCTTAAGTGGCAGAAACCATCACCTAGGCATTCCAGCCATCTCAACAGCACTTCTCCAAGAGGAGTAACCATAGGCCTTCAGTCATCAGGTTAATGGTGAATCTCTATGAAGGGGCATGCCCCTGGCTGGGCTCTTAGAGCTCATGCTAGAAAGATGAAAACAGAATAAGCAATGAGAAGAGCAAGCAGTTATGGCACTCTCATTGGTCCTTCTCAGAGACCAAAGTAGCCAGTTCCCCAAATGAGTCAGAACTTAATTTTTGACATCAGGACCAGTGTCAGAGACTCTAGTCTGAGAAATCATCATTCCCAATTTAGGGAGACCTGGATCAATGGAAGCCATTCTGGGAAAAGATTTAGTACATTCAAAGACACAGGGATAGGCAGTTTGGGAGAGAAATCTAGGTGATAAACTGAGAACTGCATAGAATAGCTCCACCAGGGGGGCCCCAGCATATTGAGGAGTTGACAGTAGAGAACGTGGAGAAACAGGTTTAACCCGTTTTAGACAAAAATACGGAGTGTTATATTTTCAAAAAGTAACTGTTACAAGGAAAATGTAAACCAAGTGAAATGTTTGCAGATACAAGTATTCATTAAAAAGCAGTAAAGCGCTTTGCGAAGATGGTCTGTGAACAGCTGAGCACTCTCACCTTTACTCAAGGATAACACACCGGTGGACGTCTCAAAGCCCTAACGGAGAAAGTAAACACAAGAAAAAGTGATTAAGGTTTCCTATCCATCAACTTCTTCCTGAACCCAGATACTGAGGATCCCAGCCTGGAGAGGGAGGTGGTCAGCGCGCTGCGGTGATGGCGTCAGCGAGACACTCAGTGAGTCACCTGGAGTCATCATCACCCCTGTCCTACCCCAGGGCAACCACCAGCCACTGCATCTCGCACAACCCACTCACCTTCGTGGCGCTGTAGACCCTCCTGGGAGAATATGGGGCCTGTAAAGAAACAAATGGGTCAGCAAACGCCGGGGCGACTCTAGCCGAGTCGCCCCCGCTCCGGACTGGGTCAGTTCCACGTGGTGGCGTCACGGAGACATCAGAAACTCTAGTCTGCAAAAATGGTTCATCCTGCTCAGTCCAAGCCTGCGACCCCCTCAACCAGCAAGAACTCGAAATACCTACCCGCAGTCGGCTGCTCAAAGATGACCAGGGCGCCGGGGCCAGCCACCCATCCCCTCGTTTAGGGGTTGCGCAGCAGCCACCAGAGCAATACCAAAGAACCACACTTCGCACGGAAGTGTCCTCAGAAAGAGAACCACAAAGCCGGCGCCGGGCTATTTATGGTGGCGTGAGGTCGGGGGCCTGACGTCCATAGCTGTCTTCTTAGGTGCCTGGTTCAACCCGCGATATTTCTCCATCGTTCTTCCAAACGAGAATACAAAAAAGTAAAAGAGAGGCTACCAGTCAGTGAATATTGAACACTCTCACACTATTCTAGGCAAATATTCGGAGATGTTTTGTGAATTCTGGAAAAAAAAAAACAGGTGACCTGACTGGCCAGGCTAGAGAAAGTCCCCGGCTCCCGCTAGACGCATGCGCGGCTAAGCGCTCTTTTTAGCAGCATGGGGCCTCTCAGTACCTTCTGGAGTTGTTAATGAATCATAGCCTTTTCCTTTGTCCTTACCTGTCCCAGCTTGGGGTCCGGGTCACTCTCAAGGGATGCCAAAAGCGAAATCTGAATTCGCAACCCTAATGGAGCCCAAAGACCTGTCAGGCTCATTAAGCTTTATGTCTTTTTTTAATACTATCTTAAGGTGTATTTGACTACAATAAACTGCACACATTTAAAATGCACAATTTGATAAACATTTAAAAATCATTCTAACCTTTTTTAAGTGTACACTTCAATAAAGTATATTCACATTATAGTGTAACAAGTCTCCAGAACTTTTTCATCGTGCAAACTGAAAATCTATACCCATTAAACAAGTACTCCCCACTCCCTGCTTCTTCATGTCTTTTTTCATGAGCAGTGTAAGGCCTGGGAGTTAGTCAAAAACAGTGAACATATTCATTATGCTCTGAATAGCACCATATGTAAGGTAGCGTTGGAAGCAAACCAATTAGTGTGGGGTGGCAACGGCCAGGCCCTATTCTCCCTTCCCTAGTCATTTGCTCTTGGCCCTTAATTCATCAACTCGAATATTATCCCAAATCCCACCTGGACCCTTCTACATCCCCTGATGTATGTTGGCATCTTTTTCATCTTTTGCACAAAAGCCACATATAACGGTGACTTGTAGGTTCCAAATCATACAAATCAGTCTCCTTTTTGAGATACAATTTAGGCACAATGAGCATAGAATAAAACTTGGAAGAAGGCCATTGTGAGTGCAGGAAATATATACTTTTACTTTCTTCTCCTGCAATTATCTTTCCAGTCTGCCCTCCCTTCCCCCAAAGTTTCAGCCTTCCATCAAAAAAATCTCTTTCAAGAATCCTATGATATTTACTTATCTGATACATTTCTCAGCTCCTAGGGGCCAACTTCCACCTATGGCTGATGTTGCAAAGTGATTTTGCTTTAAGTTTCAAGATGTGTACCTGTACATGTAGGCAACGATATACTCTGATGTTGCTTCCTAATGAACCATTTTCCTAATGAGGGTATCATGAACTTAATTGGCCCAGACTCAGGAATTCTTTTTTGCTCCATTATACTGTTGCTGGAGATGCTGTTACTAGAGATTTCCCTAACCTCTATTATTGCTGCTGCCGCCAGTGGATCACACTTTAAGGCCTTTCAAGCCTTCAGCCTCCCACTCAGCAACAAGCCCCTTACCATCAGCTGCTGCTCCTGGA